GCGCCAGGCGGGGAGGGACTAGGGAGTGAGGAGATGAAAGAGAGTGAAGGTGCAGACTGAGAGTGCAGGAAGGCAGAGGCAGCCTGGACTCACGACTCACGAGGGAGGTGTGTAAAGAGAGAGTGATTGGAAATGAAATGCATCGAAAAGGGGAGACTGGAGAGCAGCTGGAGAAGCTCACCGTTGGCTTAGGTGTAAGAATAAGTAATCATGACGGTTGACTGACACGCACGCTTTCGCTTGGCTGACGGAGTGACGGGACTCTCTCTCTCTCTCTGCTGTGCTGTGCAACTGGTCCATCCCGAATCCGAGAAGGACGGTCCTGAGATCCTCTCATTGGGCGGATCCCCTCATAGCCGTCGATTTCGTACGACCTAACCCCTCCGCCCACTGAGTTGATCAATCACTGCTTCACTATTACCCAATTACTATGGCCATGATTTGGGCACATCTCATCCTGTGTTTTGATATATCGTCGTAACTCGAATAGTTGACAGGTTAAAACACCAAAATGCCCCCATTGAGTATGTCTTCTATTTACTTGATTTTGAGCGGGCACCAGGGGTAAAATGTATAGATTCAAACCACCACCACCCATTTACATTTACACCTCATCTGCATCTGGACATGGTTTTCGAGTAAATTATTTTCCGTTAAATCTAGCAAAAAACAGGGGGAACAGAAAAGAAAAACTTATCTATTGGACTCAAAAGGCCTTTGCTGGAACTTAAGGTGAATTGTCTGATGGGGTATACGCTTTAAGCCTTTAAACTGGATTCCAATTTGACAAGCCAAAAAATAAAAATGGAAAAAAACAAAGGAGGGCGGGCCCCTCGTACAAGGGGGGGAGGAGAATAGTCAGTTTGCCGTTGAATGAAAATGCTTGCAAGAATTAGAATCCAAGGAAAAAGCAAAAGCATGTATAATATAAGGGTTCTTTCCAATATCAATCAATTTAAGGAATCGCAATGGGTCCCCGTCTCTCCACAATCTATCCATGTTTCCACGGTTGTTACTTTGGCAAATTTTATTCAATTTTAGAATTTATGGGATATGTCCCCTCCTATCTTATCAATTTCTATTCTTTCCATACGCAATTGGCTACAGTTCGTTTTGGAGTTTTGGATTTTAATAATATAAATATTTATTGTATACAATAACTAGCAATCATCAAAGTATTAATATCAAGTAAGCGTGGATATGGATGGACATGCATATTCTTTACAAACAAATAGATACGGTTGAAATACACGAAAATACAGTAATATATACAAATTTTCTAAATATATCAATTACATTAATTTTAAAATTAAAATAACTACAAATAGAATATAAATATATAAAAAATATATATTTTTAATGGAAAATATATTACAATTAATATAACAAAATAAATAAATATTATATAATTTTATTAATAATCCACCAATAAAAAATCTAAGACTCATATTATATAATTTTACAAATTAATATATGCATAAAACCATTATATATTTTATTGTATTTAAGTTCATGTCACTATTAGGTTGGCTCCGTCACTAGTCACCATTGGTTCAAATTTTCTCAAACCGATATTAATTGAGATAGTTGAACCATTCAAGCCATTTGAACATGATGGTTAAACTTGTATGTTTTGGTAAAACCACAAGTTGGTTGAAGGCCAACTAACCCAAGAAATTGAACTACTGACCCATCTCCACTTGCAAAGTGCGATTTGTTGTTTTAACTTTTAAATAATAAATATGTTGATTACCATTTTTTTCGCATTAAAAAATATATCCACAGTATGGTTTTTGAATGAAGTTTGTTATTCAACATTATTATTATTATTATTATTATTACTATTATTATTATTACTATTATTATTATTATTACTATTATTATTATTATTATTATGTTGTGGATATGTCAAAGACACGTGCCGTTTACGAGTTTTGCGGTCATTTGGTATTCCCATTATCTTCATTAAATATTTGGTTAACACGTAGGGTTGAGATGCTTAATAATGGTGATTAAGACTTAGGAGGAGATTAATTAGGGTGTTTTACAAGTTATTAGAGATATTAAAGTTAAAGGTGGACCAAGTCTGGGCAAGTAATCATGAGCAGCGAAGCTTGAATGGAAAGGACGTGAGAGAGGGAGAGAGAGATGACGAAGAGAGACCATTCAATCACCCCATAATAATTTGCTGGGGTTCTGGGGAGGGCCCCACCAGAGAACGGGTAATAGAGGGCAAGCGCGGCCGTACTAATGATTGCTGCTGTGGAGTTGTCCCCTCTGGACGGGCAACTGTCCCCTCTCCGCCGCAACCATTATCATTGCCTTCACTGCCTCGCGCCCCCCACCTTCGTCCTCTCATTGGTCCACGTCATCCGTCTGTTCCCCTTTTCACCAATCATCTTCTCTTTCCCATGCCTCCCTCACGTGACTCTCCTGCCCCACTCTCCACGCCACCATCTGCGCATCCCTCCGTTTCTGATCTCTCTCTCTCTCTTTTTATTAATTTTTTATAAAATCGAATAAGATACGAGATTCTGTCTGCTCCAACGCAGAGAGCGAGTAGCGACTAGTCACATACTCACATGAGCACGATCAACAGGCGTATGGATGGACCACCGTTTATAACTTGACACGTATGACTCTTTCTTCACTGCCTTCCTTCGTTGCGTTATCTGCCAAACAATACCTAGTCGTCTAGCCCTGGCCTCTTGGGCCTCACCTCATACCTAATAAAATCACAAAATTACCCTTCTTAATTGCAATGGCGAGTTTTGGGATTCATTCGCAATCTTCTCCGGTGCTATAGCCTATAGTGGCTTACTTTCTTCCTAACTATAGATTTGGAAGACATTTCTATTAATTAGGGAGAGAGAAAGATTCTCTCCCGTTGTTTAAAGGTTGTGTTTTGATTTGAATGAAAAAAGTAGGAAAAGGCAAAAAAATCTTTACAAACTTTATATAAATTTCTCTATCTTTCCCTTCAAACCAAATATAGCTTAAGCGAACCATCTGTTTGGCAGAGCAAATTGGATTTTACATTTTAGGGGGTGCATCATATGCGTAGGTATATATAGTTATATATAAAGGAAAAAGAGAGATGGGTGTCCAGGTTTCCACTTTCCACCACCGTTGATTTGTAATACTCTGTCTCTTGTTATAAAAGAATGGGACCCGCATAATTGATTTCTACAGAAGTAATTAGTTCTGAGGCTGGGAATGGGGACTGGGGTGGGGGGAGGGGGAGAGGGAGAAACGAGTGGTACGGACACACCACCACCACCATAACTTGTGGTACACGACATCCAAGGTGGACGGTGGACCCATGATCGGTTCATCCACATCCGTTCCATAATCCCTCCTCCTTGCTTGATTCTCACTGTGAGCCAGGACTTGGTGCGTGTTTCATAGCATTACATGTGAGCCACGTGTACAATTAAATATACTCCATCGTTCAATAGCGTTTCAACCTTCAAAGGAAGAGAGGAAGAGAGAGGGGCTACTGCAATTGGCTGGATTCTCAAACGCAAAGGCAAGAAAAGGGTGGGGTCAGTTTCGTTGGACAGCACCACCTCTCCCACAATTCATGCTTCTCCCATGGGCCATGGCCTCTCCGGTCTCAGTCTCCACTCTCCACCACCTCACCTGTTCCTCTCCTCCCAACCCATTCCTTACCCTCTTATCATTAAAGTGTGCATGACTTCTATTATTGCAATGAACTAATAGTATGACATTTGTGACCTCATCTTCACTGGTAATCGCCGGTCACCCTTCGCCCCCTTTTACCACATAAGTACATAACTATACCTCTACGGCTCTGAAGCGATTACGGGGACCACCACAACCCCACAAGGCCACAGCTACCATCCAATTCCTGTCTTGGGCCTTATCGCCTTTATCTTTGACTTCTCTTCAAATCTATTTTATAGTAGATTGAAGATGAAGGGTAATTTTGGTCAAATATCCATATCCTCCCCCAATTAATAATTAATTAATTAATTATTATTATCGTCTTTGCTTAAATTAATTAAATTCACGCTGGGCGAGGGTTCAGACTTCAAAAGTAATTTTTCGGTTCGTTCAATCGCTTCACGACACGTGTCTCAAACGATGCCTTTCCAATGTAGGTGGTGTTGGTTGGTGAGTCAGCGTTTCCGCTGTCTGCGAACTGCAATCCAGTCTCAAGAGTCACTTCGCCTCCATTTTACTCTGCTGCTGCTGCTGCTGGTTCCTCTGCGACGAAATGCAAAAGATTAGTGATTAGTATGTAAAACAGCACTCACTCGGCTCGGGAACCACCAACTCGCTATCTCTCTTTCCCATTACTCTCTTAATGATCTAGTAGACGGAGACAGAGTCTACTTTGTGTAGGTCAGAAAGTCAATATCATCGGGATAATCATAGCCGTCTGATGGAGATTACATGATCTAGCATGTAATCTTTTTCGTTTAGCGCATCTTTTCGACAAGTATAAAAGGGAACAGCTAGATGACGTGGCGCATGTTGGTAAAGTTTGCAATTACTGTATAGTTCTTGACTAATTAATGTCTTGATTGACTGAACCTTTCTTTTTTATGGTCACATACTTGGTCAGGCCTAGTTTAACTCTCCTTCCATTTTCTCTCTTTTTTTTTTTTTCTACCTGAAAATCGTTTTTCTTTTGAAGAGAAGTAGAAAACAAAACAAAACAAAGCAAAGCAAAACCCTGTTTGATTCCACATTTTGATGACAGAAAGATCGTCCTTCTACTTTGTTTCCATCCTGTTGTGACTTGTGAGTTATTAATGGCAACAATAAAATAAGGGAAAACAACGTTACCGAGATCACTAATTCTCTCTGGTGATTCTTTTTATTTTCCTTGATTTTTTTTTTGTATTTAAATTTTAAATTGATTTCAGGTGTGTTTGTCAACCTGGGTTTGTCGGTCAAACTTCTTTTGCACAAGGCAAAAGAAAAAGGACTGTTTGTTTATATGCGTTTATATTAAGAGACCAGATAGAGTCTTTATAAAGACTCTTTTTCAAGCCAACTCTATCCCTCCTCTCGCTGACTGAGACTCTTCTTCTGGCTCTTTTTATCTCCTGTTTGTTTGGGTTTCTTCTTGGTCTGTACGAGACAGAGATGGAGTTGGGTTTGAGCTTGGGAGACGCCTCCAACGCCTTCGCTTTTGTGGACAAGAGTCATAAGGTTAGCGCCAAAGGTCTAGGGTTTTGCATGGGCTTAGGTGTTGGGATTGTTAACAGTAGAGAGGACGAGAAACTAGAAGCTGATGAACGGGATTCTGCTTTAAAGGATTCAGATGAAATGGAGGAGAAAAAGGATTCTACCGATCCGCCTATTCAGCTCGATCTTCTCCCTCCTGGTCCCGTCCCTCGTAAACCGCCTTCTTCTTCGCAGCTAATCTTTCCATGGCCAACTGAAAATGGTAATACCTGACGCGGCCAAGCGTCCACCCATATCTCCACTTTTGTTTTGTTATATTTGTTCTGTTAGGCGTCTTCATGTATTGTTTGTCTTGACGGGTTTTGGGCTGTCGCAGGTAATTCTGAAGCGGGTTCATCGGGTCACCTAGGGGCAACGGCGAGAGGGTTCGACGTCAACCGGTTGCCTGCGGCAGAGGATGCTGATGATGGGGCCGCAGTTTCTTCTCCCAACAGTACTGTTTCTTCGTTTCAGATGGATTTTTCCATTTATAGAGGCGGTAGTGGAGGCAACAAGAGAGATGCAGAAACTTCGGGAAATGAAGTTGAGGCGGAGAGAGCGTCCTCAAGAGCCAGTGACGAGGAGGAGAACGGCCTGACTAGGAAGAAGCTGAGACTCTCCAAAGAACAATCAGCCTTTCTCGAAGAAAGCTTCAAGGAACATAATACTCTTAACCCGGTAAGTAGAAATCCCGAGAGAGAGAGAGAGGGGGGGGGAACTTCATTCTATTTCTTTTGATTCATTTAGTTCATTTACTTTTAATGTATAGCAGAAACAAAAGCTTGCTCTTGCGAAGCAACTTAATCTTCGTCCTCGCCAAGTAGAGGTGTGGTTTCAGAACAGAAGAGCCAGGTACTTGGTTTGTTTATATTCATTAGTTTTTCTATTTTAAGCATATGTATTAAACGGCAATATCCTCGGTGACCATGTTTTGGGAAATGGCCGGGTTTGAATTAAATTACCTTTTTTATTCTTTGGTTTAACATTTGCAGGACGAAGTTGAAGCAAACAGAGGTAGACTGCGAGTATTTAAAGCGGTGCTGCGAGACACTGACGGAAGAGAACAGAAGGTTGCAGAAGGAACTGCAAGAGTTAAGAGCCTTGAAGACTTCCCACCCATTCTATATGCAGCTTCCAGCAACTACCTTGACCATGTGCCCTTCTTGCGAGCGCGTCGCCACCACCTCCACCACTCCATCCCCCACGACCGACGCAACCGCTGCTACCACCACCCCAATCCCCAACAAAGCCTCCGCCCTTTCTCTCACCAAACATAGGTTTTATCCCTTCTCTCATGCCTATGCCCACCCGTCTGCAGCTTCATGAGATAACGCGTAGCATAGCAGGTGGTCCTGAACTCCTGATGATGATTGTTGGTTCTGATCTGTGAATATCAAGACTTTCAGCTTCTTTTTGCAATTTATTAAACAGTTTCCAATATCGAATAGAGTGTCATTAATGATGGGGATTCTGAAATTAGCATTATTATTTATTTTTTGCTTCCTTTTCTGTGTTTTGTGGCCTTGTGGGGAAGATAGAAATAGAATTATAGAGAGAGAGAGAGAGATTAGGTCCTAAGCTAAAATCCAAACTTTTTTTTTTTTCTGATATTTTTGTACTAAATTTGGTATGGAAAAAAATACAGGAAATCAGATTAAACGGTTCTGTAAATAGACTATATAGTCATTATTAACGTGGACAATGTGGTCATTTTGAGAGAAGATGGAAGGGTTGTTGTACTGGAGAGGTAACCTTTAGGCCTTGTGCTTCAGGTTGTCTTTTTAATCCATTCACTCCTAAAAAGAAAAAAAGGACCTTTAAATTCCATACACGAGAAGATATGTGGAGTACATATTAATGTAAGGGGTTCATCCATCGCCCATCACAGCGGTCACGTGAGGTCCCATATCCTTATGGACGTTATTAGTAAGCCCAACCAAGCTAGGCAGCAAAGCATTCGTTGTGATGATAAAAGAAGGTTTTAATTATTATTAGTTAATTCTGGGGCTTAATCAAGGGATTATAATATTGGCCGACCAGGAAACTCCTTAGGCTTTGAGGAACAAATGGGGACACGGGTGACCTAAAAGATGGAAGGATCAACACCCATAAAACCATTATTTTAAGTCATCCAATGATTTGTGCTGGGTTAGTGTTGCTAAAACTTTCCACAATGGTAAAAAGGGTACATATAAACAAGTAACATTTTGTCTATTTCCACGTGTCGGGCAAAGGATATGGGACTGCTAGGGTCCCACTAATGCAAAAACATCAACTTGACCAGATCCAGATGGGTTCTAGCCATTTGATTTGTGCACAACTTTTGGACCTTTCCTATGGTAGACATCAATGGTTGCTAATGGAAACAGTAAAAGTAGGTTCAAGCTTATCATTTTTAGCCCATCAATTCATTTAATATGTTGGGCTTGATCCTTTCTATTGTCGTAATGCACTCAGTTATTGTCTTCTTGTTTAGCCCATCAATTCATTTTTTTTTCTTTCTTATTTTATAAGAATTTTTTTAACTAAAACCATATCTAAGACTAAGAGTTTAATAATATGATTTAAGAGGTCAGTTTATAAGTTGAAGTGGCTAGTACAAGGGCTAGGGTAGGGCGAGGAATGATAAGGCTAGGATAAGGCTTAGATGATGATGTTTATACTTTATACCCAAGAGTTAGAGATTAGAGAATGGTAGTTATAGTTGGGGGGACATTCATATTAGGTAGAGGATCCAGGAATGATGTAACCCACAGACGGGATGTGGTTCCATGTTCGGCAGGGCCATTTATATATATATATATATATATATATACCCAGCCCAGTAGTTCCTTGTCCTAGTTTAACTAATAACATCTGGGTCGGTTGGTTGGTTGACCCGACTCTAGCCCGGATGTTATTAGCCGCTCCTTTTTCATAATCCGGTTGTGAATGGTTGAGTACTCACCAATCAATCGTAATTGTTGGAATGGGAATAGCTGACGAAGGATAAAAAGTAGTAGTAGATGGTGGCAAAGGCAGCGTCAGCGTTAAAAAGAAGTGGGGAGTTGGGAAGCATGAAAAAGATTAAAAGCATTAAGCATGGGGAGTAATGAGATTGAGGTATCAGTTCTGGCCGAGTCCCACTTGGGGTAGGTTGCCATCTTCTGCACGAAAATGTGGAATGATTGGGGGATTTAACGCAAAGAAAGGAAACATCAAACATGGGACGGGAGAAGGAGATGAGAAGTTAATCACAAGTTGTTTTTCTGTTTGTTTGGGGAGTTGAGATATAAAAAGCAAGTGGCTTTTGACTTTTACGAAAGATCTTTGTAAATCTTCCTTATCCGTTAAATCAAGAATAAAGATCCACCATGATTTAAGCAATTAGGTTGTATTGGTTGGTAGTGGTGATGGTGGCGGTGGCGGTGGTGGTGGTGGCTTTATAACAATAGAATAAGATTATTAGTATATTATACATATATAGTTGACGAAAGATGGAAATGTTCATAGGACCTAGTCCTCCCAAACATGCTGCTGTCCTTCCTTTTTAATTTTGGCTGGGAGCTGTGACATCACTGCCTTTATCCTCTTGATTCCGATTGACTCTCATCCATCATCCACCTCATCCCTTCGCCACTTCTTTGTTCTCCAACGCCGGAGACAACCCGACCAAATCCAACTGAACTGGATATAGCCACCCAATGCTACCAAAATCATCTATCTTGCTTTTTCTTTTTCCTTCTTTTTTTCTTTTAACCAAAGACCAGTTCGGATCCATTGTATTGTAGCGGATCACTTTGCATTTTGCAAGTGCCCTTTGAATCTATTTCTGTTATCAAGTAGGTTAAAATTTTGATTTCTAAATTGTCTTTTCTAGGCAATTTACTACATATGTTATTGTTGTCGCGCGGGTTGGCCGAGGGCAACAAGGTAAATTCATCCTTCAAGTTCTTAACATTAGTCGAGGACCTCGAGGCCTCGGAAGAGGTTGACCGAAGTCGAGGGCGGCAAGCCAAAGTGAAGTACTCCTTCCGAGGACTATGGTAGCCGAGGACTGCAGTCGAAGCGAGGTCTACGATGACCTGAGATGCTGCAAGGCAGGAAGTGTCAGAGACCTCGGGGTGGATACCCGTGGCTGAGGCTCCGACGCTCAAGTTAATAAGAGGTGTGAAGTAGGGGAGAGTGCAAAAGTGCTCCCTGAGATAGTCCTCGGGTGCACCAGGTCTCCTTGAATTAATGCTAGGTAGACAATGTAGGTGCAAAAAGTAAATGAGTGAGTGATGTTGGAGTTACTCCATTCTAGCAGCCCCTTTTAAGGGGTAGTTACCTCTTATTTATACTTGAGCGTGCTAGTGGTAGGTGAAGATGAACGCCTCGGATGAGAGCCATATGAGGTCAGGTTGCAGGTCCTGGCGGTACCGCCAGATAGTTATGTGATTGGCTCCGTACGAAGGCAGTAGGGCTCTCGCCTACTGTGGCTGACGTGAGCAAACATTAATGGGCTAGGCCTTCCAGCCCTATGAGGATTGGGCCAACCTAACCCACATCACTTGCCCCCCACTCCTGAGACCGAGGTGACGCCTCGGCGTTTACCCGTAATGAGGGTGGTAATCGAAGTGAGGCTTGGTTTCAGTCATTGGGAGTAGTAGTCATTATGCCTTCAGAATCGTCATCCGAGGGATGCCCTATAGTGGCGTCGTCTTCTCTATTCACGTCGTCACTCTTCAGTTTGAAAGCGCGAGTGAAGTGGATGCTTTGGCCTGGCGGGGTGTCCCATATACCGCACGGGCAGTCACGTTAGCGGGGCTACCGTGGAGGGGGCGGCCATCCCAGGAGTCCTGTCTTTGCGGTTCACCCAACGTCGTTTCGCCTTCTGAGGGCCTACGCTAGGAGGTGCGGTGAGACTGATTCGCAGGAGCGGGGGGCTCCCGTGTCCGTTGGATCTGCGTCGATCTGAATCGTTGCTTTGAGCGTCATTTCGTCTTCCGAGGGCCAGCTCTAGGGGGCTCCCGCGTCCGTTGGATCTGCGCTGATCTGAACCGTTGCTTTGGGTGTCGTTTCATCTTCCGAGGGCTTGCGCTAGGTGGTGCGTCGCAGTTGGATGGTGGGAGCGGATTGGTTTCAACCGTCGGATTTAGAGAAATCCTGGCCGCTCATTTTCCTTTAAATAGGGACCCTAACAGTGGTTTTCTTCCCAATTTGAACTTAGACGCCCTAGCTCTCGAGTGAATGCAGCTCCCCAACTCCCAAGTCTCTAGAACTTCTTTACTTCTTTCCTTCTTCGAGACATTCTACCATCTTTTAGGTAATCTTAATCATGTCATTTTTAGACTCTGGTCTTGAGTGCCATGAGCTCTCGAAAATCTCGGGAGGGAGCTCTCTTGCAACCCCCTCTCCCTTGTCCTCTCTAGGTTGTTTAGCTATAGTCCCCCATCGACGGGAGGTGGCCATTTTGAGAGAGGTTAACCTTGGGGGGGGGGGTAGTCACCGGGGAAATGGCTCTCCCATGAAAGCGCCGTCGAGGGAGCCTGAGGGACCTCCTTTCTCCAAGGGTGATGCCGCGGAACTCGTCGCCGGACAAGTAGATGGAGTGTTGTCCAAAGGGTGGCTGATGCTAGTGTCCAACGTTCGGAGTTTGACAGCTCCTTGGACGTGTGCCAGGTCAAATCCCTGGCAAATATACCTTGGTCTTACTGCTTGAGGGTCCCCGACATGGGAGATAGGCCGTGGAGGGAAATCTATATCTACCAGCATTTTTTAGAGTCTGGCCTTACGTTTCCCCTCCCAACCCTAATATCCGAACTGTTGGAGTGGTACAACATCACTATCAGCTAGCTCGTACCTAACGCCCTCAGGACCATTTTGGCGATGATGGTGTGGGCTCAGCTCAGGGGCATGGAGTTGACGTTGAGACTATTCCGTGCCATGTTCGTGTCAAGGAAGCACGCTTCCGAGGCCAACATGTACTACTTTCACCCGAGGAGAGGGAAGCCAGTGCACAACCCCTCTTCCGTTCACGGGTGGAAGGACAAGTTCTTTTACGTCTCCTGCCCCGAAGGCTGGCGCTTCAAGTCCGACTGGGGGGAGGTCCGCGTCGTTGTCAAGAAATGTCCCCCACCGCTCCGAAATGAAGAGGTTGCAGCAGTGGCTCATCTACTTGTGATGGGAACATTCCATGTGATGTCGGTGGAGGAGGAGGTCCCTATAGTCTTCGCTGGGATTAGCCCTGCCTCTCTTGGTAGGAGAGGTTCTGTAGTTAGTGCATCTTCCATGTTCTTTTCTTTTCCTTTTTGCTGATGTGCTAACTACTTTCCTTTGCTATTTCGCAAAAGTGCCAATGGACGTCAATGAATGCTTGTTGGTGAAGGCCCGGGCAAAGAGTGCTGGGAAGAAGGCCAGTGGACAGACGCCGAAGAGGCCCAACGATGAAGCTGCCCCCTGCCCTGAGGAAGGGGGGATATTTGCAAATACCCGCCAAGGGGAAGTAGTCGGTGGTGGCACTGTAGAGGATGGTGGAGGTG